GGAAATGGGCCTGTTTCTGGCTTCCAGCAGGTCTCCAGAGCCCGGGAGAGGCAGTTTTCACCCTCCCAGAGGCCTGGAGGAGGCCTCCAGACTCTGGGGAAGGTGAAAAACGGCCCTTCCGGAAGTTCCAGTAGGCCACACCCACCATGGCCACGCCACCCAGCAATCGGGCAGAGAAACGGTTATTGGGATTTTTGAATCCCACACCTGGTCATAAGTCACTTTTTTCAGTGCCATTGCAACTTTGGAACAATCACGGAACGAACCATTGTAAGCCAAAGACTGCCCGTACTCAAAAGTCAAGCAGAGCTTTTTGTATCTGGTCGAAAGAAAACTCTGTGGCTTCTTGGAAGTTCAACGTGGATGTTTGTTACTATAAAAATAGGAACATGTGAAATCACCCACGAGAGCTGAGTAAAGTTACTCCATGTGATTTATCTATTACTCTGCCAACAGCATGACAAGCCGACTCCTAGCACAAACTCTATGATGAAAATAATAATAATTTACTGAGAACAGCTTAACCCAGGGACAATACAGCTACTCTTTGACTTACAACAGTTCGTTTACTGACTGATATATATAAATAGCACGTGCGCGCGCGCACACACACACACATATGTATATATATAAAAACAGTTTTATATACACACACACCATTATATTTAGCAGTCCTTAGTAGCCCTGATGATGTAACCTAGTTTGGGTTAATCAAACATCTGCAAGAAAGCAAGAAAGCTCAAAGTGCACTAAGGACCCCATAGTCCTCTTCCTCCTCCTCCCAACCTTATTCCCCCTTGCACTGATATCGTTACTTAGTTGGGTAAAGAAAGATCAAAAGAGAGATCAGCCTAGAATCCCTATATAGCCACAAGTAAACTAAGCTAGAATAGAATAGAATAGAATAGAATAGAATAGAATAGAATAGAATAGAATAGAATAGAATAGAATAGAATAGAATAGAATAGAATAGGAATAGGAATAGGAATAGGAATAAGAATAGAATAGAATAGAATAGAATAGAATAGAATAGAATAGAATAGAATAGAATAGAATAGAATAGAATAGGACAGGAATAGGAATAGGGATAGGGATAGGGATAGGGATAGGAATAGGAATAGGAATAGGAATAGGAATAGAATAGAATAGAACAGAATAGAATAGAACAGAATAGAATAGAATAGAACAGAAACAGAATGCAGAGTAGAGTAGAATAGGAGAATAGAATATAGAATACAATAGAATGTAAAATAGAATAGAATGCAGAATAGAATAGAGAATAGAATATATAGAATAGAATGCAAAATAGAATGCAGAGTAGAGTAAGTAGAAGAGAATATAGAATAGGATAGGATAGGATAGGATAGGATAGGATAGGATAGGATAGAACAGAATAGAACGCAGTTAAGTAGAATCGAATGCAGAATCGAATCGAATGAAGAGTAGAGTAGAACAGAACAGCATAGAATTCTTTATTGGCCACGTGTGGCTCGACACACAAGGAATTTGTCTCCTCTGCCTAAGCTCTCAGTGTGCATACAAGCAATAGGTGATATATCATGATCCTAAAATACATTCATCATAAATCATAGGATACAATATTTAGTCATAGGATACTAAGCAACCAACCTAAATCATACTAGGATACTAAATAAAACCATATAAATCGTAAGATGCAAGTAACGAAATTAATAGTCCTAAGGAGATAAAGGAGATAGGTAACAGGGAAGATGAGGAGGATTATAGAAATACAGCCTTACTAGATAGTTTGACAGTGTTGTGGGAATTAGTGGTTTAGCAGAGTGATGGCGTGGAGTGGGGGAAGGGAGACCTCATTTTTTCCCCTATTACAAAAGGCAGCTTTGTCTTGGAGCAGCTTATATCCTTCAACATCTTTTAATATCATCAGACTTCAACTCCCAGAATTCCTGAGATAACATGACTGGAGGAGGAATTCTGGGAATTGAAGTCCACAAATCTTAAAGCTGTCAAGTTTGAAGTCCCCTGACCTATTGAGTCTTTCCCAAGCCTCACAACAGGCAGCAGATGTGGGTGTTTGATGATGTAAAAATGGCAGTCTTCAAGCTTGATAGCTTTAAGACTTGTGGACTTCAACTCCCAGAATGCCTCCTCCAGTCATGTTAGCTCAGGAATCCTGGGAGCTGAAGTTCACAAGCCTTAAACTTGCCAAGTTTGAAGACCCTTGCAATAGGTGGACAAAAATTCTGGCTGGTTGTGCGACAAACCATCATATAAGACAGGCGGTCATGACTTATGACCACAACAGAGCCCAAAACTTCTGCTGCTAAGTGAGACAGCGGTTGAGTTTTGCCCCATTTTATGACTTTGCTTGCCAGTTGTTGAATGAATCACTGCTGTTCAGTAACTGGAAGAGGTTACGTGTATCTGCCTTCTCCACAGGCTTTACTCATCAGAAGGTCGCAAAAAGGGGGAATCCCGTGTGACCGTTGTAAGTACGAGTCAGCTGCCCAGGGTTTGAATTTTTATCACGTGCCTCCAGGAGACGGTCGCTAAGTGTGAAAAATGGTCGTTAAGTCCCTTTTTTCCCCGTTGTGTCCCTTCGAACCATCCCTAAAAGCGAATAGTTGGAACTTGAGGACGGCCTTTCCCACATGCCCTTCTCCTCCTAGGCGGGAGGAAGGGCACTCTGCCCATGGCCAGAGGCCCCCGCTTCCAAAACATAATAATATAAAAGGCATAAGACAAAAATATCAAAAGGCTTAACAATGGAGCATGTCAAAAGTATAAAAACAAAGCATGTATATATAGTGAGATATATTTCATTTGATAACAGATTAACAGAATTAGAAGAGACCCTGCAGGTCATCTAGTCCAACTCCCACTTGTGAAACCTTTAAGCATCTTATATACCATTTTATTTTTGAATTTACTATTTCTTACACCAGGCATTCAGAGACGCCAATCGGCTCTGCGGGAAAAGGAGACAGGCCAAGGAGGCCACAAAATAAGCCAAAATTGGGGATTTAACTGCAAAACAAAAAACAAAAAAAACCCAGCGATCCTCCAAGGATCCCCAAAAAGCACAAAGCAGGTTCCAGCATCCTCAATGCAACATTGTTACTATGACACAGCATCCGCCTCCAAAACATAAAAAGCCTATGCGCTCCGCAAAGATGGGAGAGGAGACTTTGAGGCCCCTTTGGGAGTCCCTCCAAGGCGTCACTCCCATCCAATAAACGCGCGCATTGCAAGTTACAATCCTGGGTGCCCGCGGGCGCCCTGTTGCAAAAGGCTGGGCGAGGTTTCCAGCCTGTGGCACGCCCCAAAGACGCCCCCCCCCCCCGCCCCGGGCACTTTCCACCCTCGCTCCACTTGCAGCCCCTCACCGAACCCCTTCCGCCCCACTTTATGACTTCCCGCCCTGCCCCATCCTCCAGAAGCGCTGCGCAACGGGGAGGGCGGAGGATGCCCCTGCGCAAGAGGCGCCATCTGCGCGCGCAGCTTCTCACCTGCACAAACTTCGCCTCTGCCGTCGCCTCGCCCGGGTTGAAAGCGAGACTCGAGCCCCCACTGCGCCTGCGCGGACTGA